AAAGAGTACACAATCAAATTTAGGGTACTTTACTTTATTTACAACTAATATAACTGGTGAGCAAACTCCTTTTGTACAATGCCTGCAAACAAGCCTTTCCTATTTACAACATGGCGTGATGCTCATTACACTAAGTGACAATTTGTTTGTGTGTTGCATGACACCCCTATACTTTCCAAGGGGTTTGTTCTTGATGAGCCATTTGTAACTTGCGCCAAGTCTTGCGATTTGTTTTCAAAGCCATCTACATGAAGAAAAGGACAAACGAAACATAAGACAATGAAGAAGTCTAAAGTGGCTACAGCAAGCTATATTTGTGACGAGTTTGTGCACAACACTCGACTAGTATTGTTCACAGCTGTAATACATGCATTTCTCTTTTTCCCACTACAAGCATATTGTCGTGACAAAGGACTAATAAAACCCATCAAATGCTGGGTTTGAAACTGCAGAGAAGCAATAGAAATACTAAGAACTTAGCATTTTATGTGATAGTGATATAGATTTATACTCACGTGTGCTATTTCAACTTTCCTCTCCCACATGCGAACCTACCAAATCAGACAAAAAATATGATTCAGTAAGTNTTTGTGTGTTGCATGACACCCCTATACTTTCCAAGGGGTTTGTTCTTGATGAGCCATTTGTAACTTGCGCCAAGTCTTGCGATTTGTTTTCAAAGCCATCTACATGAAGAAAAGGACAAAAGAAACATAAGACAATGAAGAAGTCTAAAGTGGCTAAAGCAAGTTACAGTATTTTTGTGACAAGTTTGTGCACAACACTCGACTAGTATTGTTCACAGCTGTAATACATGCATTTCTCTTTTTCCCACTAGAAGCATATTGTTGTGACAAAGGACTAATAAAACCCATCAAATGCTGGGTTTGAAACTGCAGAGAAGCAATAGAAATAGTAAGAACTTAGCATTTTATGTGATAGTGATATAGATTTATACTCACATGTGCTATTTCAACTTTCCTCTCCCACATGCGTACCTACCAAATCAGACAAAAAATATGATTCAGTAAGTATGAAAAGACTTGCTTATACTAACATTTCTGAAAATAGAATGGAAAAGTCAAACTTTTCCTGACTTCTAAAACATACATACAACTTCACAAATTACTTAAGAGAAAAATACTGACTTACACTACCATCTAACTGTACAATGTTAAAATAGTGAACTTACTGTTTTGTTGAGTTCATATAGGTCTGCTCGTTCAGTGACATAATCTAAAACCTAAATAAAGCAAACTTAATGTTAATCATATTTGTCAATTAAATGAATCATCTTAGTTTAAGAACAACTTTAGTTATACCTAGGCAAGTTTATTAGTAAAAGAAAACACTACTCACATCTGGTACTTTGTAGTCTGTTAGTTGTTGCTTCAATCTTGAATTCAATGTTTCTGCTTTTGTCCGTTCCTATAACATAAAACATTCATAATTATAAATAATTATTACCTTAAAGGGAGGGAGGGGATAGTGAAGAGATGTTTTATATAAAGTTTGATTCTTGTGAGTGATCAATGGGGTACTGCTGCCATTTCTTTTCACTTGGAAGGTTGAGCCCACTTGTTATGTATAAACAGTGTGTACATGAACTCTGCAGAAAAATTGTCTTTACATGTGGCAAAACAATGCGACTTACTTGAATTGGTTCCTTTTTCCATGGTGGGAAATACAGAGGGCAAGGGCCAAGCTACAGACCACAGAAAACCCCTTCAAAATTTCAAAAGCTGCTATGACATAATTTGGTGGTCAGATGTACATTGTCATATCTGGTAACCCATAGCAATCAAGAAATTATGAAGTAAACACAACTTGTCCATGATTCAAACCCAGCAACATTATTTTTGATCTTACTCAAGGGTGGCCATCCATAGTAAACACTGTTTGTGTTCCCTCTTTATTTAGATTGTATACAAAAAAACTTCATTATCACGGATGGTGCATCTTCCACCTTTGTGGTTTCTTCAGATCTCTGGGTACAAAATTTCAGGTTCAATTCTTAAATTTGTCTACATATTTTAATTAATTCTGTGCATGTGTATGATGCATTAAAACAAGGTTTAATAATAATTATTATTTTCCAAATAAGTTAATAACCTTTTCAACCATCTGTGTTTCAGCATCGATCTTGTAAAGCAGCTCGTTTCTCTGTGCAATCTCCATTTTCAATCTTGACGACTCCATTGTCAGTGTGTGTAATTTTTTCTGTCAAAAAAATGTGCATCAGAAAATATGTCACATTGTCATTACGTCAGCTCTTACAAACTGTTTTATCCCTTCCCTGTATCTCTACTGACCTTGTAGGTGTTAAGAATCTGTTGCACATTTCCATCCATGAGTTTAAGTCTCAGAAGATCTTGATTTTTTTCATCAATCTTTTCAAGATATTGTTGGTTTTCAATTTTGAGCTGATTGAAATCAACTTCATGAAGAACTTCTCCCATTTCTTCTTTCTAAAAAAGAGTAAAAAAAATTAGTTATTCCATTTCAAGAGCTAAATGTCTTTAGTGATCAAATGGGTCACAATATTTACATGTACAAATGTAGTTTTAACTATTTCTCAAACCTGTTTAAGTTGCATGTGCAGCTTTCTCTTTTGAACTTTCAGTGTAGAGTTCTTGAGTCTTAGCTTCTCAATTGTGGTGTCCTAAATCAATAAAGAAAGAAAATTAGTAATTATCTAAAATTATAGAATAATGAGATACAAAAAAAAAAAAAAAAAAAAAANACCATGACAGAATTCTGTGCATGGTAAGTGAATTTTGCCATGTGCAGTCTTCTATACCATGCCATAGAAAAGACAACAAATCAGTATGCAGGAAAGCCATTGTAACCTTGCTGGTATTACAACCAACCTTCCCTTGCTTTTCATTGATTGTGTCCGCCACTGTGTTTTCTTGACATGGTATAAAATAGTTCTACAACACTTTCTTGTGGTAAACCATGGGATATTTCACTTGTCACTAAGTATTTTCTTGGTACACACGTTTGCCTGGAGGCTAGAGTGTACACTGAGAAAGTACATTTAAAGTGAGTTGTATGATATTCCATGGAATACAACTTGAAAGTGTTGCGTATCTAATATTTATCTGAGCCATGAACAATACTTACCCTTGCTCTAATTTTGTCTTCAATATATCTTGTAACTCTCTCAGCAATAACTTTGTTGGTTCTCTGCAATATCAACATAAAGTTATGTAATAATTTATTAACAAACTAACATAATTTACTTGGTCACCCTGGAAATAACCTCAACTCTGATGTTTCATTAGTGAGATATAGAATTTAACTTTACCTGGTTGACTGCTCCTTTGACAATATCTCTCTCAAATTCATAGGAAGCCTTCTTAACTTCAGCACTTCTGATGTCTGCTTCTTCCATGACAGCCTTGGAATGACAAAAACATAGCAACATTAAGTCTCACTTTATAATAAGTATAATTAAGAGTGCTTGTATGTTTATTAATGTTCTTTTAACTTAATTGTATTTTTATTATTTATCAATACTATTTGTTGACCTACCCGGAAGTTATCAAGGATCTTTTCTGATTCGTCTTTGAGTTTCTCAATTTCATCTCTCAACTCTTCCAGCTCCCGCTGGGCAATGTCACACTTCTGCTCTGCTGTTAATTTCAAATGCCTAAATATATGAAAATTCAACACATACATTATAAATAGGTAATTAAAACCAAATTTTCCCCAAATTTGGAGTTCACACCAAAAAAACCACCTGTGGGGCGTTAGTTTGTCATATTTTTGATGACAACAAAATATTTTGAGTCAGGCCCTAAAAAGAAAATTTGTGGAAGTCACCTTCCCTAATCTACACTGATTAGCAAATATGTAATAATAAATAGGTGCCTAATAACTGACTCAGTACTGTACCTATCTAATGATGGTCCCCTTGATCTTGACCTCTTTCTCAGTCCTCTGTGACCTGGCTCAATAGTAGGCTGGGTTGGACCTTGGGTAGCTTACATGAAACACAACAACAAGTTACAGTTACAGAAAATTATGGCATTGTTTTCAAAATGGGTTGGGAAACTTTTACATGATACTGTACATGCACAGTGTACTTAATGACTGGATGCAGATTAGGAAAGAATACTCAGAAAGGGTTTAGGTTGGTATGTGATGCCCACATTTATTTACAGTGATGCTCTGTAATTGTCCAGATAAGGTTGATAAAATGTAACAGCTTTCCATTGTACTTAACTAAACTTACATACAAATAAATTAATGTTGACAAGTTTGCAGATACACGAACCTTTAATTTTGGAGAACTTCTAAAAAAAATACTCACTAGCTTGCTGTAAACCTATGTCCTTTGGATCAACCCTTTTAAGGTATTTCTCAAACATTGTGGTCTCGTTTTTAAGTACATCGTTGGCATGTCTAAGAAATGCAAAAATAAAAACAGAAGCACACATCACACATCACAGTAAACAATTAGATCAAGTACAAGTACAGTCATAAACACTGGTCATATCAAGGGAAACTAAACTTTACACGGCAAGATTTCATTGTACATTCAAGAAAAATGACTGTAGCGTTTAAAAGTGACAAACGGAGACGGAGCATATTAATTTAAAGTAAACATTGAGGCCACATAAGCCAAACAGTATAACTGCGTTCATGAAAACTGTTTAATTTTGGTCCTAAATCGACCTGGAAGTAGATTTTCCCGCCAGATTGTGCTACTATTAACCTGCAAATATCACTATCGTGCTTAACGCAAACTTACAACGTCTCCTGAACAAGGTTGTAGAGTTCCTCGTCCGTAAGTTCAGCCAGAGGCTCCTCATCGTGGTCTAAAGAGCTACTCACATCCACATCGGACATCGCCATCTTGATTTTTCTTTCGCTGTGAATATCGAAGGTTTCCATGGCAAACATACAGAACACGCAAACGAGGCTCGAGTTGCACGTGTTCATGGGATCGAGGCAGAACGTTTCGAAACGTTTGGCGGCCATCTTTGAGTTTCTCAAAGTTTTGGTAATTTTTATAATCCGGTTGCATCTGACATCTTCAGCTTGCAACCATGAAACTTGTTAGGTAAGAGAATTGGAGATTCAATGTTGGATCTTTGTCAGGTTGTATGATATCGATGACTATGTCGCTATATTGTTTATTTCCATTTGTTGTGTTGCCCTTGTTGACAGGTTTTTGATGAAGTTGAGCCATGAAACAGTGACAATCGAGCTGAAAAATGGGACAGTTGTTCATGGAACTATTACGGGTAAGCTTAACCAGAGCTAGAAACGTTATTGGTCTCTTCTATGTCATGGTTAATTTACTAAAGTAATTCATTCAGCTACGTTTCTGAGGGTGTATGTTTTGGTTTGTTAGCTTTCAGCTGCTTTCCGTTTAGGGACACCCTTTTTTTTCTTTTAACTTAAGCTGGCCAAAGAAAGCAACATCCACACTTGAAATGTAAACGGGCCCGGGAAGCGGGATAGTGTTAAATTATCTACCATGATTCCTGTCGGGTTTACCATGTCCACAAGCATAAAGATGTATGTTGCATGGAAATTCCCTAACCTTCCAAACCATACTGTCATGATATCTTAGATCACTAGTATGTTGCAGTTGATATCTCTCTTTCCATTGATTCCTCAAGACCTCTACAGTTTCCTGGATAATTTCTTAACAAAGATGACAACTTACAGTCAAACCAGATGTTCTTTTGATGGGAACTCTGCAGTGCAGTGTTCCAATAATGGTTTCCTTCAAGCAACTTGCAACTTTCTTTTCAAGGTTCAGGGAAGTTGCTACGTTGTGGTTGAGTTTTGATGAGTATGGATTTTCGTTAAACTGAAATTATAAACTGAAATTAAAACTTATAAACTGAAGTTATACTACCTCTCAGTCAAACAGGGAGAAAATAATTTCCCTTTACTGACGATTTATCAACAGAATTAATTTGGGAGAAGCAAGGGAAAGTTGAGTTGGAATTGCTTACCTGGTAATTGAACAGAAAAATTCAAATTTGCCCTTGAAGTCATAGTGTACATTTTCAGTTTTGATGTGTGACTGAAACAATGGTTTGACTATGAACAGGTTTCACTTGCACCTTGGAATAATTTCCTTGAGTCCTTAAAGTTGAAAATCAAAATTTAAGGCCAGTGAAAGTCAGTGAAAAGTAAATTTGGGTCCTTGAAACACCTCAATATTTGTTTACTGTTTGGTTAACAAGGCAAAAATGCGGTTTTTTGCAAAAAAAGAAATGATCTTAGCTCTTCACGTATGTCTATAGTAGAAGAACTAAAGAACAGTTAGACTTGCTGGTGTCCGTTAAACCTGAGTATGTAGTGTTGCATTCTAATTGTACTTATTTTTAGCCGATGGAATCCTTGAAAAGTTCTTGATTTCTTAGTCCAAAAAGGAGTACAAGCCCTGGCATTATACCTAGTCACTTTGTTTTAGTTCATTAAATAAAGATCATCCTACAGAGTAATCAAGTGCAAGCAAATGAAATGGTTGTGAGCTGCCCTGGTATTCTGCAGGATGTCTAAATGCTTGATTATTTGGAATCCTTTTACAGTGTAGAATGCATCCGGTCAAATTTTTAGATGAAGTCTATAGTGTTTATAGACTGTCATACAACAGAGGATTCTGGGTTGAGGTCACAACATGTAAAAATGTTCCAGAAACATACATGTAAATACTTCGCTGAGTTTCCAATGCCTGGCAAGGTTTAGATCTTTGTTTGGGTCATGACCTCAGCAATATAAAACGCTTCCTTCGTACAAGCTTCAGAAATATTCTCATTTTCTCTGAAGTCCCCGTGTAAGGAAACATATTTCTTCTTTTGTAATAATTGCATGTAAAAGACTTTATGTAACTTACAGTACATGTAAATATTAACTTTCATATTTTGTTTCAATTTGGACTGTAGGTGTTGACATGAGTATGAACACACACTTGAAAGCTGTAAAAATGACCATCAAGAATAAGGAACCAGTTCAGTTAGAGTCACTGAGCATCAGGGGTAATAACATCCGCTACTTCATACTTCCTGAAAGTTTACCTCTAGACACTCTTCTAGTTGATGATGCTCCCAAAGCAAAGGCTAAAAAGAAGGAAGCAGGTATGTTATTGATTGTCATAATTTATGGTATTGTGGCTGTGTCACCATTAGATTGGACTTGAAATCTGCTTAACCTACAAAAAAAGTCATATAAATGCAAGTTCAAAGTCTCCACGTACCCTCTAGGTAGAATCAAAACCTTGATGTTTAAGATCATCTCTTATGCCACAGTACAGCTTGGGCTCTTAACAAGGTTACAGTGTTACTGATAAACAACATAGTGCTTGTGGCTCTTACAATTCAATAGCTACAGTTTTGTGTTGTTTCCAAACCATGCTTTAGAAACTCATTCAAAATAGAAGTGGTTTCCCTTGTGATACCAATAGTTTGGTTGTGAAAAGTTATTTTAAATGACTTGAATAAAGTAAGATGAACATTATCCATGATGTGAATGATACAAACAAAATGATGGAATAGCACCTTGTACATCTTTGTTTTTTACGAACTGTGCATGTTTCTGAACAACAATTTTCAAGAAACCAGAAACATCTGGTTACAAATTTACAAAACAATCTATATCCTGGAAAGGTTCAAAACAGATTTCAATGTAATATGTATCAATTCGAAGATTTCCGTCATTGTTTTTATTTTTTTTTGAAAAAGAGAAAGGTAGTTGACACTTGCTAAAGGTAAGCCTTAATTATTTTTACAGAAAATTAGATTTCTCCCATTTGCAGAAGATCTTTTTTCTTTTAAGTGTGAGTTGTTTAATTTTTTTCCCATGATTACAAGGGTTAATACATTATGTGAATGCTGTACTCTTTTTCAAACAGCTGCTAGGGGAAGAGGCCGTCCTGCTGGTGGAAGAGGAAGAGGGCGTGGCAGAGGTGGAAGAGGAAGAGGAAGAAGATGATCTCACATCTGGATCACAAAGCATCTAATGTCGATTTTCCAAATGGAAGGATCCTTGTATTATAGTGGCTTTCAAAATCATGTGAACTAAGGACACCTTTACTAGTCACCTTGAATCCTAGCGATGACTGCATGATCCAGTAAATGGTGATACTGAGTTATAAAATAACAATGACAATTTAGACAAGTCAGCTGTTTGTAAAAGTTTCTCATTACACATTGTTTTGAAAGTCACTGTAATGAAGGTAGCAGTGTGCAAAGGACAGAACAAAGGAACCACATAGCTTCAGCTTGGAGGATAATGATAAGATGGTTGTGAAGATTTTACCTGAAAACAGGTCACAGTCTTGACACAGTTGAGGAGAAAGAACAGTCTCCTACATTCCAAGTGTGCCTTCTTTTATGTGGAAGTTGTTGGAAAATGTAAATATAACTTTTGTACTGACTATAAGAAATAAAACTGTAGTATATCAGTGTACATGTATTGTCAAGTTTCTTGAGGAGTAAAGAGAACCGACTTTATCTCAAGATGAAGCATCTCGAGGTTATCAAAAGCATCCAAACCCTTACAAGGGAATTTAACAGTACTGTCATTTCCCCAAAGGAATGCATGTTATTGTAGCGTCCTTTACCTCAAAATGGCACACTGTTCAAGAGCTCTCCTAGCTCTGTTAGAACTTATCAGTCGCCTTTTCTAGTCTGATCACAGAATATGCACTATTTGTAGCTTAATCTCAAGTAAAATGAACGCAAATATTTGAATTGTTAAATGCACTTTTAAGTTTACAATGGTATGGTTAAAATCTTACACTGTGCCTCGAGAGTAATGAGAGGGAAAAAGTGCTACCAGCGAAGGCATTTTAATGCCCTGGACGCAGCTATTAACCCTCTCGCGCCCCAGGGGTAGAGAACGGTGGGCATGAAGTTATTTGAAGTACAGTGGAATTGAATCCCGAGTGTAACGCGCAACGGCACCTCAGTAGTGGAAGGAAAATCTCAGCGAAGAGAGGGGGGAGCAACTGTGTCACATGCAGATTTTTGGCCGACATAGAACGCGAAGTCAAAATGTTCGCCGCGGTATTAGGCACCCTTATTGACTTCAAAAAGAGCCCGAGTGAAGAATTCCTTGTCCGTATGTTTTAAAACTATTGGGGGTTTGATAAGTATACATTAACTCAAGGGAATTCTACTGGTATACCAATGCAAATGCTGCAAACTGAGTGGCTGAGCTACTCGTACACTATCAGCCATTCACTACGGACTTACAGATACGCTACGGCGAGGTACCACTACGGCTACTTTGGCCGTGAGGGACCAGGCTGACAACGGTGTTTTACCCGCCAAACTCAGATGATTAAGATTTTGCTGTACGGGAACGGTATGTGCAGTCTCTACGTGTCTTTGCAAAAATGATGACTTTCAAGGAAACCAGAGATCATTCTACTTTCATACGAAATAGGCTTGATTTATGACAACGATTTCCTTCTCTTGTATCCGTCTTACATCTCCCAGAACTCAGATTTGCCTTTTAGAACTTGATAGAACCGCCTGTAATTCCAACCACAAAACAAAATACAAACTCTGATATAAAAAAGCTCGATTTCAACACGGACAGGTTGTTCGTACAACGATTACGAGATAAGCCCGAAAATACAAAACTTTCGATTATAATAAAATAAATTTTGAACAGTAGTAAACAATTATAGCTCAGATTAGAACATACGAAGCTTTCTTATAAACGGCTGTTCGGCCCGTTACTAGTATGACTGAATTGATCCTCTCGCGGCAGGTGTTAAAATCGTTCAGATTTTCTGTACAAATGACAAAGAAACAATGATCTTAGAACCGATTTTTATGATTGCCGAGAACTTTATCTTCAAACTAGGCTGTTCAAACAGTGCAAAAAGGGTTAAAATGAGAAGTAAACAGCAGGCTTAACTTATACTCACGTAGTGAAGAGTGCGTGAAACCAGGCACTTTCCCGTAGTAGAAAGCAAGGCTACGGCGGGAAAGCCGTACCGGTTCGCGCGTCATGACGTCACCGGTAGTGATCTTCACTACCTGCCGCCGTACTACGGCGTAGCCGTACCATATCGTAAAGTCCCTATTCACTGAGTGCAGTGGCTGTCGCTCGTCTACGAAATGGCGACGTTTTTTCGTTTTCCAGACGTTTTGGAGGAAAGTTAAGATGCAAATGGATAATTAAATCCCTGAGAAGACTGAAAGAAGGCCATTAAAGGTGCTTTGACTTGGGAAACTTGAAATTATTGAAGAAACGAGTGCGTGCGCGTACACAATTGCAAATTTTGCTAACAACAATAGACCAATTCAGCCTAAAACAAGAGACCTCAGTGCGAGGCTCTGGGGAATAACTACAGAGTATCCCCCAGAGCCTTGAGTTGAGGTCTATTGTTTTAGGGTGAATTTTAATTGGTCTATGCAGTTCGTGCGATTTTGTTAAAGCATGAATTTCAATAAGTATACGTAGAAAAATAATTGGGAACCGTAATTTGCGTTTATTTCAGTTAGAATTCTACTAAAACAATGAGATTATTCGCTCTCGATTTCTTTGAGGTGATAGTTGATTCGGCCTTGCCTTCGGCCTCATCAACTACCACGTCATAGAATTCTCGAGCTCATAACTTAATTGTTAAGTAGGAAAAAAATAAAGTAATTTCGACAAACATTTTGCAATACTTGTTTATATAAACAGGATGTAAACGAAATAGACAAGCAAAGTCGGCAATTTTTCCCTATGTATTACTCCCCGAATTCACTATTAATTTCTCGTTACTTCCAGAACCTTTACGGGCTATTGAATTCGTGATGAAAAACGCTAAATACGCAAGGTTTCGAAAGTTGCAACCCCAGCCTCTCCGAAACTGACGGTTTTTCATTGCTTATATGGTTCACTGTTGCTTCATCTGACAGCGAAAATGTTACTAACCATACTTGGTATTCAAAGGCGGGGGTGAGATGCTTGTCGTCTCTTTTTTTGCGAAGCACCCGCAGAACTTTCAAAACACTGTCATACTGCAATAATAGTTTGAATCGATCTGTCATGAAATCTGTAAATGTATGAAAGTATTTGATAACAGTCTCTGACGCACACACTACAGGTCTTATTTTTTTCTCTGTTTTCGAATGGAGTCTTTAGGTGTCAAATAAAGCTTTAGCCACGCCTAGATTGAGGAGGGAGGGGAAGGTGGTTTATCAAAATTTTCCAACCATCAACCCAACCCCTTTAAATATGGGAACTTCCTTTCCTTTCCACACCCCCCTCGAGCGCAGGATTGATGCGTCAGTGATGGTGTGAATAGACCCTTAATTCTCTATTTTCCAATTGCCCATAATTCACCCTGTTT